TTGTGGTATCTCTACACCACATGGACTGCAGCAGCTCACCACCTTCAAGGACAACTAGGGATGGGAAATAAAGCCAACAATGCCCAATCCCGTGAGTGAATAAAACAAACCCAGCACCAGGACAGTGCAAGTTTGAATATTTGTATTGTGAGTTTACTCGCTGAGCCTTGTTGTTTGAATGCTCCCAGTGGGCAGTGGCTTTCTGCAAACAGCTAACAACCTTTCACAGTGGGGTTTTTGATTAGCAGTGGGTGAAAGTAGGATAAAGTTATAGACATATACCTATTGACACTTTAAGGTCATAAATTGTGGTTATTAAATGATGGGAGAGTGCTAGGATGCTCATGACCTTTCTGTAATTATTCATATACTTCCCAAGTGTATAAAACTTGTGCAACTGGTTTTTGATCTTAATTACTCTCCACCAAATTAATTCTGTGACATCTAACATGTTGTCTGACTTTTTTTTGTATGCAACTGTATTTCTTCCAGGCATTTTGTCTCCTTTCATAGATTGAAACACAGTGAACATTGTACTTCTCAGGTCATATCTCAACTAAGCGGATTGTATCACTGAGCTGATCCAAAGCTGGTCATGTATGTAAGTCAGTCAACTTTTACAAAGGTAATGCAATGTAACATAATGCAGTCCTTCCCATGCTCTGAAACTGCCAGAATGCCAAATTCAGGTCAAACCTGACATTGTACAAACCCCTCCCTGAACCACACCCAATTCAACTCAATGAGACACTTAAGAATTACAACCATACACACACACACAGACTTCAGTGGGATTTGTACAGCCAGCAGCTGCATAGGTATGCAAGTTTTAGGCAAAACAAACTGATTAATCTGCCACAGGAACATTTTAGTTTATTTAAAATAGTGTTAAACTTTAAATGCAAGACATTGAGATTAATTTGCTATAAAAACACCAGGAGACAGGCTCAAAAAGCCCCTGAGCGTACAAGTCTATTGCCAAGGATCATTGGTTAGTTATCTACAAGTAAGAGGAAAGAATTATTATGGGCTAGGGCAGACCAGGTCCATCTTAAAAGCCACAGTTGAACCATTAGTTGGAAGAGAGACTAGCCAAAATTAACTTGGCAATCTTGGTGCTCATTTGTTCATATAGTATGGGTTTAGCAGGCAAGACCAGCATTTATTGGCCATCTTTATTGGTCAGGGAATTGAGTGAGAGCGTCAGGATGTCATGTTGTAGCTTCATAAGACTTTGATTAGGCCACACTTAAGAGTATTGCGTTCAATCCTGGTCACCACATTATAGGATTTGGAGAGGGTACAGAAGAGGTTTACCAGGATGATGCCTGGATTAAAGGGTGAGGTATAAAGGAGAGACTAGGAAGACGCAAGTTGTCTTCGCTGGAGCAGCAGAGGCAGAGGGGAGACTTGACATAAGTCTATAAAATTATGAGATGCATAGATAGGGTTGATGGTCAGAATCATTTTCCCCCAGAGTTGAAACTAGGGGCATGCATTTAAGGTGAGGGATGTAAGGAGATGTGAGGGGCAAGTCTTTTTACACAGAGTGGTAGTTGTCTGGAACACATTGCTGGGGTAGTGGTGGAGGCAGATACGATCGGGGTTTTTAAGGGATTTTTAGAGAAGTACGTGAATATGCAAAGAATAGAAAGATATGGCCGAAGGACAGATAGAAAGGATGTTTAATTTGGCATCACATTCGGGGGCCAAAGGGCCTGTTCTGTGCTGCACAGTTCTATGTTCTATATCTCTAACTGACCTCTACAATGGCAAATCACATTCTTGAACCAGTGCAGTCCATGTAGTACAAATAAAAATCTGTTGTAAGAGTTCCAGGATTGAGACACAGTGATGGCAAAGGAACAGCAACATAGTTCCACATCAAGGTGGCAACAGGCCTGTCACTAACTCAGCAGGTGTAACGGTTCTTGTGCATCTGCTGCTCTCATTTTGAGGTAGTAGAGGTGACCAGAAGATTTAAGAAGTTGCTACAGAGCATCTTTTAGATGATACCCTTCACAGACAGCACATTAGTGTTTTGAAGGTGGTAATTGAATGCCACTGAAGCTTTTGAATTGGTTAAAAATTATTTCATGAAATATAGGCATCTCTGCAAGGCTAGAAGTTCAACATCCTCAATTGCCCTTGAAAGGAGCAACTTGTGGGGCCATTGCAGAAGTTTCATTTTATGAAGCCAATTAAAAACCAAACAAACACAAGTGTACATTTTCATTTAAGATTTCAATTCAGAGAGGATTTCCTTTTTCAACAAGGTCAGAAAGTCATTCAGAACAGCAATCAAAATACAAGGAAGCTGTGTGACTTCTGTCAAATACCTATTGGACACCTGTGGTGTTTATGGAAGGTACATTTATTTAGTTTTAAAATCCAGAAGCGCTCTTACACACAAGTGAATGGTTTATCAAACCACTCCCACCACCTTTACAAAAAAAATACAATTGGTGATTTGGTAAAATCTATTAACCACCACCAGTAAATAATCAGTGTTCTCCAAACTTATTAACTTACATACAAACATGTTAAGGGCAATACAGATCACTGAAGGTGGCTGGGGGGTGGGGGCACGGAGAATGCTGGAAGGGAAGATAAAGCATTCCACTTACAGCAGTGCCCACCTCTCTCTAAAGGCATTGAAAGGTATTGGCAGATGCAACGTTCACTCTTTCCAACAGCATCCAGGCACAAAAAGGTAGCCTTTGAAGAGGGGCAGACTACCAGCAACTATGACCCCCTCCACTGCCTGAACCTGCTAATGGCCATCTTGGCCAGGTTCTAGATAGGACATCTATACTGAATTTACAAACAGACCAGGAGCTGTTTTTTAAAAATTTATTCATTCGCGGGATGAGGGCGTCACTGGCTGGGCCAGCATTTATAGCCCATCCCTAATTGCCCAGAGGGTAGTTCACAGTCAACCACATCTGCTGTGGTTCTGGAGTCACATGTAGGCCAGACCAGGTAAGGATGGCAGTTTCCTTCCCTAAAGGGCATTAGTGAGGCAGATGGGTTTTTACAACAATTTATAATGGATTCATGGTCATCATTAGCCTCTTAATTCCATATCTTTTTTTAAAAATTGAATTTAAATTCCACCATTTGCTGTGGTGGAATTCAAATCCAGGTCCCCAGAACTTTGCAGGTCTCTGGATTAACAGTCCAGTGATAATAGCACTAAGCCATTGCCTACCCACGGCTGTTAGTTTAGCTTTTGGTTTCAATTTGGACAGGAAGAGGGAGAATTAAGCCACCCTAGCTGAAATTAACACAGTCTCAAAGCCAGGGAAACTTTTATTGAAGGCAAATTGTTAGAACAGAGAAAGTTCAGGCCATCAGAATTGTGAAAGACTTATGCCAGCAGACTTGGAAAGGAATTAAAGCAGGCATTACTTGCATTCTGCCGTTAAAGAACTTCCACAGCCTCCTTGGAATGTTTCACTATAAACCAACTTGATGGATCATAATTCTAGATTTCCTTCCTTGAACAAGGACATTAATGGAATGGATTGGTTTAATGGTCACTGCTAAGAGAGACTAGCTTTTAATTCTGGATTTTTAAAAAAATTTAATCTGAATTGCTGTTATGGTGAGATTCAAACTGGAGCTCTGAAACTGCTCTCTACTCAACTGGATGAATGAATGGCCTAGAGGTATTGTCACTGGACAAGTCAGACACCTGAATTAGAATGCTGTCAACCCAGAGAGGGGAAAAAAAAAGCAAAAAAAAAAAAAAAAAAAAATCAGGAATTAGAGTCTAACAATGATTGCAAAACCATTGTTATTTGTCAGAGAAACCCAGTGAGTCACAGATGTCATCGCAACCCACAGCAACATGGTTGACTTTTAACTGTTCCCCTAGGCAATTAGAAACAAGCAATAAAGCCTGCCATTAATAAATAAATTTAAACATCAACATCTCAATCTGTACTTTGTAGGTGGTGAAAGGCTTTCAGGGTACAGTGTGAGCATGCACGCGGCGGTGGGAAGAGAATAGCAGCTTTGGACAGGTCTCGACACAATACTAGTTCAAACAGAGGGACAAATAAATAGTCTTCTGTCCTGTATCATTCTGAGAGTTGATTGGAGTTATGCACAGCACAGCTTGGGACCTGTTCTGCTCTTGTAGCCTCAGTGTGTGTATGCATTTGGTCTGGTGAGGGTGGCAGAAGCAGCATTCAGCAGTGCCATTAAAAAAAGTCAAGATGATGACCAGTCTCTCTTCAGTCACTTTCATGGGCCTTGAGATATGCAAATGTTACTTGTACATTCATAATTTCTTAAATTAGCAATTCCATTGCTAATGGCATGGAAGGCCTTGAGGCAGCTGAAGATGAGTGACCTCTAATAGCTGCAACCAATATTTTGTTCTTGCTCAAGAGAAGGCCATAGTGGATCATCTACTCAACCCTTCAGTTCTGGAGTTCTATAGAAAGGTCCCAACCCAAAATGTCGACTTTCCAACTCTTCTGATGCTGCCTGATCTGCTGTGCTCCTCCAGCTCCACACTGTGTTGCCGTCCTTACCTGGTCTGGCCGACATGTGACTCTGGTCCACAATGTGGTTGACTTTTAACTGCCCTCTGGGCAATTAGGGACAGGCAATAAAATGCTGCCCAGCCAGTGACACTCAGTTCCTGTGAACAAATTTTTAAAAAAAAAGAACTCACCCAGTTATTACTGTTATCAAACTAGTAACAGTGTGTTGGAACATTCCTCAAGTAGCAGAGCCATTTAACATGTAGAAATGCAATTTTCTAAGAGCACAATTCTGTGCCAGATATTCCAGAGGTAGTGAAAATGCTGCTTTATGATAAGCCAAGTTACAATGTGCAAAGAAGTGATTGTTCACTCAGATTCAAAAGTTTGACTGAGCCAGTGGACACTATGTGGTCCAGGAGCATGTTTGTAAAGTGTGAAATTTAAATATTGTGCACAGTCAAAAAGTGAGTTAATTTCAAAATAAAGAAGAGTTCAGCACCGTTTCTTTCTCAAAAATATTGATGATTTATTTCATCTAATAGGGTTAAGGTAGCAGAGAGCAATGGAAAACACCCTTAGATCAAATGTAGAAAGGCAGCCCTCACTTATCACATTTCAAAAACATGGTAATTATAGGCTAATAACAGCAAGGGGACAGAACATGTTCAGGGAAGCTCACCAATATTCCAGAAAATCTTATTTGTCCATTGGAATGTTTTTTTTTCTGGAATGTTCAATTTATTTCCTCTTAAAATCAAGCAGTAATTACAGTCCAAAGTGTTTCAGATGAAATCTTTATATACTATATAATAAAGTCCCCATGTTAATGAAATAGAAAAAGCCCTCCATCACCACCAAAAACTGCAGCTATTACTCTAACTCAAGGCCAGCCTGTGTCTCACAGCAATAATTCAAATATGGAGTAGGTCCCAACAGCAAGGAAAATCAAAGAATTAAAACAAAACCCACAACAGCACCCGTTTTTTTTTCCCCAACTAGGGACTTGTTTCTGCAAGAACAGTACCTACACAGAAAAAGCCCAGCTTTGTTTTTTTTAAAAAAAGGCAGTCTTCTCATTCAAATTAAATGTCACTGCAGTATGTACAAGAAAAAAAGATTAAATATGGAGATAAATATCTTTTCTCTACCTCAAATAAATGTACTATTTTGTGCTCAACTGAACTGTCAAAATGATGTATGGTGGCGGGGGGGGGCCTGATGCAAAATTTTAACTGTCAGGTGACCAATGTGCAGGAACTCAAATAGATCACCATACACCCTAGTTAATATTTCAAAACAATTAAGTTTTTCCTTACAACTGCATGATTTAAAATTTAAGATGCACAACTGGAATACCACAAATTCATTTTAAACCCTTCTGATTTCTTAACAGCCAACTCACTGATTTGCATTTGGTAGGCACAGCATGCCCCATTTCAGATTCTATATTCACTCACTACCCTGGAGGCAAGCATGATTTTTGTTTGCTGCATATAAACTTGCATGTCTCTGGAGAAAGACTACATCTTGGATTCAGCTGGATTTGAGCAATTCTATATCCATCATTCTATCCCATGATTAACTCTTGCATCAATGCAGGGTAGTGATTTGGATTTCCCAGTGGCATACTGCACTATTCTGACAATAGTCTCATTGGTGATACAGTACAAAAGGAGGAACCATATTGTAAATACCACAGTTTACTCTCCTATTCATTCCTTCCTGGAAAAACTGTGGCACCAATGATTTTGGTGAAACTTTAACACGTCTCATCTGGACTCCAACCTCACTGCACAACAGTAACTAATGTGAAACTTAACTTTAATAAGCCAGATCTCATTATAAACAACTGGCAATTATTCTGAGGCAGCAACTCATCCTTGAGGATTCCGGTGACCCTCAAACCAATTTGGTTTGATAGGTTATTTAAATGCCATCAGAAGCCTGTGACAAATTACAGTTTTCAAACCCACCAGCAGCCTTCCATTTTGCTTTTAAAGATCAAGAGCTGCCTCTTCACTTAGTGCCTTCTGACCTACCTGTTTGTTTTCTGAAGGCTCAACTCAGGCTTTGTACAGTGAGGACTACACTGGGACACTGAATTAAGAAAACAATTACAAATCTGGATCAGTCATGATTTTCTACGAAAACATCATGAGGTAACCCAAACCCCTTCAAACAAAATATTAGCTGGGGGATCAAGCACTGTAAAGCTCAGCATTGTAATGATAAAATACATTTGTGCTATTCATACATGGTCTGACTGGTGCAAATTAATGTTTATCTAATAGCTGCAAATAAGAGGAATTTAATTGAAGCAGCTCATCTTTATCACACTTCTAGATTTTATGGGGGGAAAACAGGAGTGAAAACAGCAGGAATACTAAATATTTATAGTACAAAAATATTTAGTTTTACAGTATCAAGTACAGTTGGAAAAATACAAAGGAGCCAGATTCCTATGGAATTTTCAGACTTTAAAAATCAAAACCTCCAAATTCCCAGACAAATTCACAGTTCCTGTGGCACTTAGTTGATATTCTCCAAATTGTAACAGTTTGGAAAAAATGTTTGCAGTATTACCACCCCAATATAGAAACAGAAAATGGAAATATTTGCATAGATTTAAGACTGAAAGTCATAATAAGACATAATGGAATGTACAGTATAAAGGTTCTTCAGTAAATGCATGTGCTAATTCCAATATGCTGTTTATAGCACTGACTTTAGGTGGCGGTGGAGAGAGCGCGCGTGCGAGAAAGAGGGAATAAAATAAGAGTGGGCTGGCTGTAGAAAGATCAGATTACAGGTCACTTTCACCATATAAAGCTGTGGAGAAGGACATGTAATCCAAAGCACCAGGCACTGCGTCAGGTCCTCTGTACGGAGCCATCCGGGCAATACAGTATTCAGCTTGATCAGGGGGAAGCTCACGTCTCAGCTCCTCTGCTGTGATGTAACTCTGGGAAAAAAAACAAATCATCAACATCTATTAGCTATTACAGACATCTTAACCAGGAAAAAAAAAGTGTTTCAAAGTATACTGCTGAGGTAGGGCATCAATATTGTTTAAATTAAATTTGTTCAAGTTATGATCAAAGCCATATTGCTTATACTGGCTTTGTGATCTGCATTCCAAGCATTTAAATTTTACAACTAATCAATTCATTAGATTTAACAAAATACATTTAAAGAATCATCCAATTAGCTAGGACTGAAGGCATATGTAGGCCAGACAAGCTTGTTGTTTTAATTATGGTCATTTTCATCCTGGGTGCCAGCCCAGGAATGACTAGATTCAAATTCAATATACAACTTAGTGTGATGGAATTTGAACTATACCTTTGTGTTGCCAGTCCAGTACCATACCCATGTAGCTTAGTAGGCAATTATAAACTATAACTAAATGTTGAGGTAGCTTTTTGAAATAATAGGCGAGAGAATCCAACAGCTATTGAGAAGCTTGGCCAACCATCCAGTCCCCAGTGCATTGGGAGGCTAGATGTAGTGTTTATATAACCACCATCTCAGCCAAAATCAGCTCACCGAACAGACTTGGTAGTATTTATGGAAGAGCTAATCACTTGATTGGAACAGGTTTTGTTGTAAGCCAATGGGATGAATAAAACATGTACCTCACACTACCAGCACAGGCTCAGACATGTCTAATGAATGCCTTCAACCAGATACAAAAAGGCCTTTACTCCACTTGCAGATTGCATCCAGTTTCTAAAGCAACAGCTATAAATTATCACTGCAAACGATTCATTGAAATGGAGACTAGTTGGAGTAGTGCAAAAGATTAGGGTGGGGCTTCAAAAACCTGAGAGGAACTTGGGGGGGGGGGGGGGGGGGAAGACTGCCTCTGCTGTTAATTGTTACATCCTGACTACCTGTTGTTAAACCTTCATGAGTAAGGTGGTTATATGTTAAAAGGTGCAGAAAGAAGCAATATAATATTAAGAACAAGTGCTGAATAAGTTGCAGATCAAGGAATTCAACTGACTTACAAACAGAATAATGTTCTGGATCAAAGTTATGCATCGTCCTGTATCTCTGCAAGTCTAATTTGTTACCTTGTCTCCTGCCAGAATCTTGAAGGAGGCCATCACTTGTTCAGCTGTGTCAGTGTCTGTTGTCTCACGTGACATGAAGTCAATAAAGGCTTGGAATGACACTTCTTCAGTGTTGTTGGGGGCAACAATACTCATTATTCGTGCAAACTCCGCTTCACCCTGGAAGTTAAAAACATGAACTCTTATGACGGAGCCAAGACAAAAAGATACAACAATAAACTAGTCTATAATTTAATCTCATGTTCTTTCACTTGGAAATCTGCAACTCAAATATAGATCAAAAAGGTCATTCCAAGGTGGTTACTAATGATTCTGGCTAACAAGATGTGCAACTGCAATCCCAGAACTGGCAGCATTTTCCTTTCCATTCGATATACAGCATTCCAAGCTTGCAGTTCACTTTGACCAGAAATTACATCAGGAGCTACAGAAAGCAGACAATCCTGGATCAGTTGCCAATTTGTCAAGTGGCAAGAATGTTCTGTTTCCCTGCCCAAAAAAGATCTTCAGCTAAAGGGTCAGTGAGGCTACTCAATGAAAAATCTCAGTCAAACTATACTAGGAGTTTATGGTAACATTGAATTCTCATCCTAAAATTTCCAGGCAAAAAACTTCGGATCAGAAATTGTCCTCACTCAAGTAATTTTCAACAAGGGCAGCTGCAGGCAGGAATGCTAGCACACATTCCCTTGGTTTGGGACGGCATCAGTGGATTAAACAGCTTCAAAAGCCACCCTTGCTAAAGTCAGTTGTCCGAGCAGAGATTGGAGATTCATACTGGCACATTTCTAGCCCACAAACCGCAGAGATCAGTGTACTCATTCCCTTCTCAGTCACATGAGAACCCATATTATACAAGTTTCCTTCTATTCTTCACTTCAAAATATTTAAATATAAAAAAACTTTTAAAATCAAAGTTCAAATTCAAGGATGACTCAGGATTTCTCACTTTATTCTGTCCCGTGATCTCTTTCTACCCATACCTACAAACTGAATGTTGTGGTCACGAGCTCCAAATGGCAATAGAAACTTTTAGCATAGAAACTATTGGGATGTCCAGACACCTTTCATGGTTAAATCTAGCCTTTTTGTTTGAAGGCAGAGGAGTTTCAGGCTCATCTTGGAAAATAACCTCAGTATTATTCAAACTCAAAAATTCAAGGACTGTTCTTAGAAGGTACTGGCTGGGTTTTCAGCCTGTTCATGCATCAGCCTCAAATCATTTTAATGGAGCGGAAACGCTGTTGGTTGTTAAGGGCAGAAATCGAAAACCTCAATAATTAAATCATATGCCTGCTAGACAAAATTTCATGCAAACAAAAATCAGGAAACTGAAAAATGTTGCAGTTAGTGGCAAACATAACAAGGATCATTTTTCCTAATGATTGCCATTGGTTTCTTGCAATACAGTTTTTCTGGTCACTCAAAAATTAATGTTCAATACCTGCCAACGCCACAGAAAAACTTAAGTCAACATGACAGCTTTATAAATTCAACTTTTGATAAAAGCAAGCTATATTTGCAATAAATAAAATTTATTAAAATGAGCTCGCTTACAGGTCAAGCCCCTGGTATTTCTGGGTGAAGATGTGGAGAAGGAAAGAGGAACCGTACCAGACTGTAGCCCGTAGAGATAAGGAGAGCTCGAAAATCATCAGCGTCCATCAGCCCCGTTCGCTTCTACTCCAACAGGAGCAAGCCAGAGAACAAACACGCACACAGATGGCATAGTACCACAAACATGGGATTTTTTAAAAAAAAGTTAGGACAAGTACAGAATCAAATTCAAAGATGGGAGGAGAGAAAAGAAAAAAATACAAAGGTAGGATTAGGGGATAAGGGAATAGGTCAGAACACAGAATCCAGGACAGAAGTGGAGAAAAAAAAAAGAAAGAGAGTTAGCTATTTACTGACTTTTATTGCATTCAATTTATCAATACCTGCTGGTCATTTCCAACATCGTAGCCCAAGCTGATAAGGCAGGCTTTAAATTCTTCAGGTCCCAGTTTCCCGGTATGGTCCTACACGAGGTCATCGGAGCATGCAGGTAATACGACGTGTACACACAGCAGAGGATGGAGAGGGGTGGGAAACACGGGGGAAGAAAACGGCGTTGATGTAGTTGGTGATGCAGCACAGCATGCACAGTATATGAAGCATGCACATGGGGCGAAGGAAAAACAAAAAAAAGTGTAATGTTAGGACAAGTGAAAAAACAGTTAAACAAAGAGGAAAATGCAAGTGAAACTTATGAATCTTAAACATCTTTTAACTGCAAAATACCATACAAAAATTACTTATGAGCAATTGATAATACAGCTTTGTGCATCTTAAGATCTACACCATTTTGAAATTTCAGGCAAAGTATTTCAATCTCAGGTACTACTGGCCAATTTGCAATTGGGCTCAGTCTTATATCCTTCAGAACTCAAGAGTGGGTTACTTATCCAATCAGATTACTGGTCTGAGGTCAAGGTTAAAAAAAACACCTCAAACATATCTAGATTGTAGTAAGTTAGCATGAATTCTCTCAATTAAGTATTGAAAAAAAATCAGGTAGTATTGATTTAAGTGAACAGAGCCGCAAGTATAATTTCATCATTGCAGTTTTACAGTAAATGACAATTTTGTTTTTCAACCAGAAAAAGATTAACACGCTGTGGTGTTAATGTAAGGACATTTTTAGAAAGTGTCAACATGAAGTCTCAAACAGATGAAAATCTAAAAAGATTGTAAAAGACTTGGCCAGTAGAAATATTAAGAGCCACACTTCAGAAACTCAGCTGCTGCTGAAAACTTAGTTCTAATCACAAATAGCTGCAAGCCCATTAGATACTTGCTGGCAAATGAAGTACTCATCTCAGCACCGTAACAGTTAAGCTGCACTGCAACAGTGAATGTGCAAATCAAAACAAATTATTTTCTGCATTCCACAACTGCAAATAGTGCCTTGCATGCATAACTCTTACAAGGTCTGGAGCATCTCTGCAGGATTTCTGGAGAGATTGTTGAAACACTGGGTAGGGCAAAAAAAACCTTTTAAATTTTATTTATTGGATTTAATTTAGGACCAGCTAAGGACATTTGGATTAATAGCTGAACTGCTGTTGAAAATTTGCCAAGGGAAGAGGGGAAATTTGACATTTCTGAGATGCACTGAAAACACTGCATTGGAAACTACAATTTTTAGTAAATTTAATTTACTCAAATGTTTTTGAATAAAATCAGGCTTCCCTTCAGCAAAGACACCAACAGGAGCCAAACACAAACTACTATTGAGTAATGGTTACCAGACCTGAAGCATTGACTGATTTTTCTTCAGCGATGCTGCCAGACCTGCAGAGTTTTTCCAGCAACTTCTGTTTTTGTTCCTGATTTACAGCGTCTGCGGTTCGGTTTTTACAAACTACATGTTGAATGAACATGCCCAGGTCACCCACTTCTGTCCCAAGCATTTTCACCACGTTCTAGCCTATCAAAACAGTTCATGTCTTGAGGCAATGTGAAAATGCTGTAAATTAATGTCATGTATATTTCAGAATTTGGGTCCAAGCTTTAGTTTTTGAGCTAGATCATCAGGACAAGATTGGAACAGCAAATCCCACTGAACCACTTGATATGATGACTGTGGAAGAATAGGAGGCATTTTGCCAAAACTATTGTGCAGATTGGGGAAAAACGCAATATTTAAATATTTTATTCGATCTTTTTAAAAATCAGTTAACAAATTTTCCAAGAGATGATTTAATGTTAAAGCTAAAATGAACAATTTGTTCCCAAGTAATATACTATATTCTTTAAGAAGCAAACACGCTGCTATTAAAGATAGAATGACCAGGCTATCGATGGTATCAGTCACAAGGTTTCAAAAAAATAATGGGCACGTGCAAACAGGACGGAGGAAGTAGAATTGCACACTTGACATTAACGTGTAGATTCCAAGTTCTTGCATAATATGGCATTCACCAACCCAATATACCCTGGAAGAGAGCAACAGCATGTTCAAGACTGCAAGGCTGGGCAATAAATGCTGGCACTTTGTTGATGGCACTAACGTCATATGTACCATTAAAAAAAAACAGATTACCACAAACTGAGCTGAACAAAATGTAACACCATTACATTACAACCTATTTTGAAAATGAGACATCATATTTGCTATCAGTACACAACCATAGTCAGAGACAAACCAGGTAACCATATGATCTTTTGATTCCCTCTAAGAAACATTTAATCTACAGGAATGTCAAGCAAGGAAAACGGATTGCAGGACATTAGTTTCTAAAAGCCAAAAGTTACGATAGAGAGAGCAGCCCATTTCCTTTTTCCTGGTAATAATCCCATAACATTGGTTGAATATCCAATCAAGACAACATGAGGTGAGTGGCAATGGTTTCCAGAACCTAATGGCTGATGTTCAGGATACAGAATCATGGGGAGTGGCTAGTTGAGGGAGATAATGGAAGATATCAGCATGAAACACAATCTCAGCTATACTCACATTTGTTTATTAAACGGTCTCTCCTAATTTGGAGATGTTAACACTTGGATGAGGTACCAAAGTAAGCATTTGTACAAAATGTCCAATTGTAAACAATCAAGCAGCTTTATCATGGGAAGTGGCAGTATCTCAATGAGGAACAATCCATCCTCATCCTACACAGGAGTTACTGGATAAAAACAGCTATAATCCTGATCAATTTCCCACACCCACTCTAGGAAACTCTGCATAAAACCTACCACCCTCCTAATGCATGCGACTCGTCAACTGGCCAGATAAACATGCTAAGCAACCATTGATGCTTATGTAATCTTAATTCTTGATTTGCATCAAGTTAGACAGTGGCCCTTAAGTAACATACTAAGATAAATATTTTGTAATTTAGTACACAAAGAACAACTTCCCATATTTATCCTGTGTCATTGTTTACTGTTTCTGTTCACTGTTAATTAAATCATTTATAGGCAAGTTAGGGTCTTCACTGATGCCAAAGTCCAGCATGTGGAACACTGACTAGCTAGCAAGATACTCGAGTGGGAACTGGAAAAGGCACAATCTTGCCTTCTCCGAATTGTTCTTAAGGATACACTAGCCATTAGAAGTTTGAAAAAAAAAGTCATGCCTCAGCTACACAGCCCTTGGTTCGATCATACCAAGTACTGAGCAGCTCTGGGCTCCACACTTTGCAAGTACACAGACTTCCCTGAAAGATAACTCTGAAGTAGAGGCATGAAGGGAGATTACAGAAACTGATGGCTATACTTTCTGAAACTAAAGATTGAGAGATAAGTTGACCAGTTACAAGCTATTAAAAAGGGACCAAAGAACAAAAAAAAGTGGATGCATTTTGGGGAATCCAGAACTACACAGTTAAAAAAAAAAGTGGAACCAGATCAGTCAGGAGTGAAATTAGAAGTCATTTCTACATAAAAATGGGAGAAGTTTGGAACACTCAATAACAACTGGTCAATTATTAAATTGAGATAGATTTAAGATATTAAAGGGACACATGACTTAGGCAGAAATGGACTTATGGCTCAGTTCAGCCATGACCTCAGAACGATGGAATAGGCTCAAAGAGCTGAAGATTTTCCCCCTCCTTCCCCCAGTCTCTGTTCATAAATGGAAAAGCAAAAAAAAAAAAAACCTTGTACTGGAGGCACATCAGTTTCATAAATCCTCCAGGTTAGTGCCAACAGCTTCTCAAACATAATTTAATCTGGACAAGCAGCAGTCAAGTACCAACAAAACATACTACCAATTTTATGCGTGACTCCAATTTTTACAGAAGTGGGCACATCCTCTCCCTCACCCTCACCCTCTGATACATTCTGCTCCAAAAGTGCAAAGTCTAAACTAATCCAATTAAACCCATGCTTACATAGATAACATTACAGGCACCAATGCAACTTCCTTATTAATCTCTGAAGGACTTAAAACTTAAGTGGAAATTAAAATACCCAGATAAAAACCATAGAATCATAGAATCCCTACAGTGTGGAAACAGGCCCTTCAGCTCAACAAGTCCACAATGGCCCTCAGACATCCCACCCAGACCCAGACCCAACCCAACTAATCTACACATCCCTGAACACTATGGGCAATTTAGCATGGCCAACCCACCCTAACTTACATCTTTGGACTGCAGGAGGAAACCCACGCAGACACGGGGAGAATGTGCAAACTCCACACAGTCGCCCAAGGTGGAAATCAAACCTAGGTTCCTGGCGTTGTGAGGCAGCAGTGCTAACCACTGAGCCACTGTGCCATCCTCATGTGCTGAAGAAATGCAAATTACAGTTCATGCACCACATGTATGTTCAAAAATTATGTAATTATCAAACTTCATCCTGGGTAGAATGAATCAAGCATAACTGTAGCATGTGTGAAGAAATGAAAAAAAACTATATACAACTCAGTGCAACTCACCATTTAAGAGGAAATACACTAAAAGCTAGTCAATAGTTTTGTAGGTACTGGACGCAACATTTCAATGTTGGAAAAACAAAGGACAACCAAGAAATCAATGGGTAATACAATTCTTCACATGCATTATCTGAAATGGCTACATTACAGGAGATTTTTGTTTTAAATGTTGATTTGTCCAGAATGATGCATATTGTGATAAGGGATTTTCCTTATTCAACACACCATGTTTTTAAGCAGTTAACAGTCATAGTTACAATTGTTTAACAGTTGCAATCCAAACTATAATAAAATGAGAGACCAATTCTCTTGCTGCAGCTACAACTCAAGGGATGGCATTTATGTGCCGATGAATTAAACTCCTGACAAAAAGGGGATATTTTTCTGGTTTGTAAACCACAGGATGAAGGCGCCCAGCAGATGCTTTCTGAAGTGTTCAGCCAATTACATATTCCAAATTCATCCAAAGTGACTACATTGCGTAAACAAAATGCTTTAAAGTCTTTTCCCACTAATCTCCTTCAAGATAATCTGGTGAATTTAAAAGTTCCATTCACCCATCCCAGTCAAGCAATTGCAGTATAACAATGGGAACTCAGAACCTGTACTCGGGAGAATTCAAGAACAACAGCTAGAGGGGCCCATAAATGTCAGCCTAGCCAGTTCATCCACATTCCGAGCATGAATTAGTAAAAACATGATTTTTAAGTGTCGCATGGAAGCAGACCATTACACTATTTCTGGGCCTGCGCAAAGGGAAGCGGCTGTGATCTTCAGTTGCTGTCCAAGAAAGAAATGCAAAGAGCTCTGCCCTGTAAACAACACTGGGTAGGCACAATCAACAAAATGAACAATACACCATTATTTTGATCAGCACAAGTTCCTCTATTTTGAGATTCAAGAGATGCATCTGGTTAAACAACTGTAGAGCTTAAGTGGACAAAAACTGAAGGGTGATTGCACATTTATGTCACTGATTCCGTTTCTAGTAACAGCAAATTAACTACACGATCAAGGTATAAAGTGGAGGCTGTTGTAACGAGCTTGGGAATCTGACGTACTGATTCCACGTCTATTATACAGAAAACCAGCGGTGTAATCTGGGTTTAGTACATAGAAATGCAGAAGGTGGAATAGTGTAGCGTCAGGTCATTGCACAAATCAGCAAATAATTAAGGCCTACATCTATACTCAGTTTCAGCATCTGTACATTGGAACTTAAACCATCCAGGTAACAAAACAACTTCAGCAGCATCAGCAAATACCACTAGCCACAGAACTGTACAAAGTGCTTACCTTAATTGTAGTAGAGCAAATCACCTTGCATCTACCTGGTATTATTCATAAATTGATAAATGGTATGCAAACAAGTAGTTACAAAACGCACCTTGTCAAAGTGATTAAATGATGATCGGAACTCATTCAGTTGATCCTGGCTGATGCCTTTTGCATCACGGGTGAGGATTTGGTTTTCTATTTCATTGATGGTTCTGGCAATTGTGGTCAACAGCTGTTCCCAGCCAACTCGGATGTGCTTTTACATTTAAAAAACAGAGCAAATTAAGTGGTGGTGTTAAGACAATTTTTGGTATAAATCTCTCAGCAGGAAACTAACAAACAAAAATTAAAGGTCAAAACCAAATCATAGGTTTGCAGTTTAAAGTAATTTTTTTATTTAAAGCTGGCCTCATTAGTTATAATATGCTGCCCAGTTTATAGACACATTCAATACTAGTAAAGTTGCCAACTTATTTAACTCCTTTCTGGATCAAAGTAACACCCGGTTCTGCAAGATCTGGTGCAAGCCACAAGATTATCAAAAGTTACACGGCAAACGGAGCAAACATGGAGCTTTTAATGTGGAAGCTTGGATTTGCTTGCACCATGCTTCCCCGGAAAATACTGCAGTGTGCATAAGTATTAACATGAGAACTCTGCTCACTACCCATGGTTGCAAACTTCTACTTAAAACAATACAGAAAAGCAAGCAGTAGAGTCTAATTAGAAATTCAAAACCAGAACAGTCCACTTAAGTATACTACAAAGTGCACAAATTTAAATGTTAATACTATGCCGATTGGAGTACAAAGTTCAGCAAATGCTAAGAGTTATCTGAAAGCCAATTCATGATCTTAATGTGGCTAATTTGGCATTGGTACAGTGATTCTGCTGCCAACATCAAAACAGTTAAGTGTAAAAATGTGGCACCAAATTAGGTGAGCACAATAGGCTGGGAACTGCACACCAACATAATTATAAAACCTGGTTCGGTCTCCCCTTGAAGTGGTGTACAGTTCCAAGTATTATACATTCAGGACGATATCAAGGCCTTGGCAAAGGCACAGAACAGAACAGAACAGCTGGAATGATATCAGGAATAAGGGGTTTGAATTAAGTACTGACTGGAGTATTTTAGAGCACAGAAGATCAAGGGAAGATTGAGGGGTATCAAAATGGGCAGCATATTGGCTCAGTGTTTAGCTTCACAGCACCAGGAACCTGGGATCAATTCTTGAAGGGGAGGACACAGGTACAATTAAAGTTTAAAAGACATCTTGATAAATACCATGAATAAGAAATATTTGGAAGGACACAGGTCAAGCACATGCAGATGGAAGTAGTTTAGTACGTGATTATAGTCAGCATGCACTGGTTAGACCAAAGGGTCTGTTTCTGTGCTGATTCTATATATGACCGTCTATTTGGAGTTTGCATCTTCATCCTGTGTCGGTGTGGATTTCCTCTGGGTGCTCCAGTTGCCTCCAGTAGACTAGCCATATTAAAAATTGTCCATAGTTTCCACAGATGTGTAGGCTAGGTGGATTAGTCGTGGTAAATATGAGTATACATGAATAGATTAGAAGGCTAGAGCTGGGTCTGGGACGGATGCTCTTTGGAGGATTGATGCAGACTTGAGGGCTGACAGCATCTGTCTGCACTGTATGGATTGTGATTCTAAAATATTGATTCACTAGATAGAAGGAAACTAATTTACTCAAGGATCAGTAACCAGAATACACAACTTAAAAAGGTCAATTTGCAAAGTGGGGGCATGAGAACAATGTCATTTATACAGTGAATTTTGATCTAAAATGCATTGTTGAAAAGGTATGATGGAAGCACACAGTCATCTCCAGAAAAGGAACTAGATTTATATTATTCGTTCATGGGTTATGACCATGGCTGGCAATACCAGCATTTATTGCACATACTAATTAGCCTGAGATAGTGATGAATTGCTTTCTTGGACTACTGGAGTCAATCTTCACCTAAAGAAGTGCTGATATAGCAAGAATGTTTTAGGATTCTAGCCCAACAACGAAGGAGTGATGACATATTCTCCAAGTCAGGATGAGGAGAGAGGAGAGAGTAGAAGTAGCACTCGTGCACACTTGCTGACCTGGTTTTATTAGATGGCAGAAGTCAGCATCGAAAGGCAACTAAGATAGATTAATCGAGTTTATGGGACTAACTGGTTAAAGGTCTTACAAAGAGTTGACAGAGGCACAGTGAGCCAAATTCTCCTTTGCTGATTGCTAACTTGCAGGAGAATTTTTATATTTGATCAGCCTTCAAATGAATAATGCTGCATAATGCTAGGGTTTAGCTTTGTGTAGTTTTTTTGGTATGTTTCACCACTTTTCCATCAGCAAGCTATAATCAAAATAATTATTTTGCTTATTTCCTTCCAGACTTAGTAACTCAAAAGGAAAACTGAGTTGGAGTGCGACAGGTTTGTGATTTGATCTTTCATTCAAGATTGCGAACCTTTGGAATTCTGCCGTACAGACCACTGTCGTCATTCAGCACGAGTACATTCTAGTTGGTGGTAACCAAGCAATATGGGAATAGGGCAGGAAATGGGGTTGAGGTAGAAACTCTTAATATCAGAGCAGGCTCAAAGGCCTACTTATGCTCAAGCGCAAGATGTGCATCAAAACTCTCCCACACAGAGATAGAAAGCAGAAACAGCTGAAATGCACATCTGGCACTAAATGACTAGAAACTTTAGCGCTCTATAGCAATTAGCATGCAGCTGATCTTAAGTGGATGTCAACTGACAGATTCCAAAAGCTATAATCAGTACCTCCATGGTATAGTTGGTGTGCTTGTTATCAAAGATGAGCGCCTCCTGGATGAGCTGGTGATCCTGCTCCAATTTCTCAATGTTTGGTTTGTAATTGATGATACTGCTCTCATACTGCTTCAGTTGATTTAGTTGGTCTTCCAATGTGCCATGCATTTCAATAGAAATCCGACCAATTTCCTAATTACAACATTAAAAAATTAGACTGTGCTTGATACAACTGTGTGCCAACTTAGTGCCCAGCTTATCCCCCTGAGCTGATGTTAGCTCGCATACAGGCCCTTTCAACTGTACAGAACGGGACAGTTTGTTTTGTAACTATGATGGATACCTTTATATTTAGGCAGCAAATTGGTTACTTTTATATTAACCATCATATAATAAATTCTGATACTGGCTGTAAAGATCAAAAGGATTAGCAAATGTTCAATTTCAGAGTTTGCCAATCAACTTCCTCTCATGTAATGGAATTATTATTTTTTCTTACATGAGACAAAAGATGCATAATTTATACCCTTTTGGAATTTGGATTTCTAAGGAGTGTTAGTAAAATCAAGGGCAGTCCTTCTGGAACAATAACTAAATCCAACATTTAGCCAGAATAGACGACTGCAAACTCTTGGGGTATCAAAAAGAAACAACATTTATACAGTTGTGTCTATGACAGAAACACTTAAGCGGTTAGATTCAATTCAGAAGATTCAAGCATAAAAGTTTTATTTTTAGTTCGGAATACACCAAATGTTGTGTAGAATTCAATTTTGTTTCTTTACTAAGATGGTGATTCCAGAAACAAGTCATCTCAGCAGAACAGTTTAGTTTGTTAAGCTTCCAAATTGGAAGAGTTTGATTGAAAAATCTAAGAATGGAGAAAGCTTGTATTTGTGAAAATGTCATGTCAGCAAAATTGGAAAAAGAACTCAACAACCCCACAATCAACAGAAAAAGAACCTGGAAGAGTCAAGCTAGTGAACCCTATAAGCACCAGGTTAGGGGCTGTCATTTCTTTGGACAAGGGTCTCTGTAACAAAAAAAAAAAAATCAGTAAACAAGTTGAAACATTTTTAGCTGTGTTTTATCATCATTCTTGGTAGTATTGGTTCTTTTGCATAATAAATTTTGATAAACAATATCTGCACTTTTGTCTGAACAGATGTCTGACCAACAACCACATTAACAGAGTTAAAATAAAAGCCAGGTTTCATTCAGAGATCTTGCTTATCCAGCAGTGCCATCAGCTGAGATCGTAACACAATACACAGTCTCTGTTCTACTTGGATTAATATTATGGTCCCATAGAGTTTGAGCAATGACTATGTGGAAAACAGTGACTCGAAGTAATAGGGTAACTTAAAAAGGATCACTTTCTATTAAATGCTACTTACATGCTTCTTCAAAGCTTCACTTATCAACTTTTCCTCAGGATGGAGTCACAAATCACATTACAATGTCATTTAACCATTCATTTCATCAAATTCATGAAATCTTTCATTTTTGAATCACTGCCAAAACGTCAGGCATTTAGTACAATTCAAACATGAGTGCAGCTTTCCAAACCTTGGCACTTACCCAGCATTGTAATTCATGTCCAAATTTGGTAGACTCACTAAATAAATCAGTTATGCTCTGAGCTACAAATAGTACCAAATCTTAAAACACAGACGAAAGTTGGGATTAATGGATCTTTATCAGGTGTAACTAGTGGAGCGCCAGAAGGATCAGCCCTAGGGTCTCAAAGTATTAACCATCAATATTAATGACCTGGAGCCGGGGCAGAAAGTAAAGTATCAAAATTTGCTGTCAAGTGGGAAGGCATGCTGAGGACGACATCAGGAATCTGCACAGGGATTATAGATAGGTTGAGTGCACAAAAACATGGAGTTTAATGTAGGAAAGAGTGAGGTAAGAAAAATTAGATATCACAAAACGATAAGTGGGATTGAGCTCAACCTCTAGTTTCTGGTTCAGTCCTATTAACATTATGCCACCCATACCTAAACATGTAAACAGTTAATATATCAGCTAGAATTTTAGAAGCAAAAATGTCTAATCAGTGTTATTGTAGAATTAATCGCTAGAACTGCACAAAATTCAGGAGCTACAGTCATAATAACTGTACGAAGATCCACTAATTTCAGTCTGCAGACAGAGTAATGACTAAAAAACGTGTTAAGATCCAACGAGTGGTCATACTGGACAAGTCAAATCTCAGACTAAAACCTTGATAGCCAAGTTTTATTTTTGCAGTTTACTTACTATGGCTGTCATTGGCAGTCAAATGACTATGTTAATTGTTCTCTTAACAAAAGCAAAACAAGTTTAATACACAAAACGGAACAGACAAAGACAATTACGATCAAGAAAAGTCTTAAAACAGCAAAAGGCATATTTCAACCCTTTTCCCAGAGATGTCTTTTACAGACATAACCCCAGAGAAGTATCACTCTGATCTTAACTCAGGTTTTTTAAGTTGACAAGCAGGGCTGCATTTCCTTTAAGGGACTTTCCAGGATATGTTTATTTTACAAAATCAGAGATACATTGGCAACGTCATTGAAGTAACTGATGTCTTTCTGAAAAGCCCAAACTACTTAAACCGCAAAAGTTTAAGACTGCTTTCCAGCCTGGTTTGCCAAAACTAAACTGACCTTCTGCTGGTATGAAATGGTTCTTCTCAAATCGAAACCTGACTGTTGCCCTAGTCTACCTTTCTGTATGTCACAGAAGTTTGTGTGTGTTCAATTAGCTCAAGGTAGTTTATCTAGTCACTAAGTTTAAGTCACATGTTTTCCGAGAAATAATGTTTGAATTGTTCAACACAACTGACTTATCAAAAGAAACAAGTCACATCCATAAAACTGAAAACAAATATTTTCCTCCACATTCAAGTTTTCCAATGGTAAGAATATAATCAAACCTTTATCACAACACACTCAGTTGTGTATACCAAAACAATTTACCAACCTGCATTTTTGTCTGAATCCAGGGTCCAACAACATTAGCCTTATTTGCAAACTGCTCACGCAGGTGTTCGTTGGACTGTTGCTTGTTAAATTCTGCTTGCAAGGCTTGGTCCCGCGCTGGCACGAACTGTTGAACCTACAGGTGAGTGAACAAGTTGATAATATCAAGTTTTGTTCAAATGCAAAATACACAAATTCTTTTACTCGCCCCTCCAGCTATCTCCATTCCGTGCCCACCCCCACCCTGACTCTTTAGGCCATTACATCAATTCAAATGCCATGCTGAGACTTACCCACATACTATTAAAGCTCAGGATGTGCAATAAATGGCATGTTCTCAGACTTCAAGACAGGAAAAATCAACAGTCAAATCAAAGCTCTTATGTCTTTGTACAAACTATTTTAGATAGTGGCCGTCTTTAGCAGATTCTTACCTTATCCCATTTATCATTAATACTCTGTGAAGTGATAGATGTGTATGGATTTACACCAGATAATTTGATATTATAGGACTGAGCAATCTTCATCATTTCATTATGGATGCCCAGGATGGCCTCTCGCTCTTTGTCAGCATCTGGCAATGTTGCTTTGAATTGTTCATGTGCTGCAATGAGACCCTACATGGGGAAAATACCAGCAAATTAACTAGGGCATGAAAGCAGTATTAGAATAGAACGTCAATTTATTGTCACTTGTACTTATGAAAATGTAGTGAGATGTGTACAAGTTGCCACAATTCAGCACCATTTTAATTACAGAAATTACAAAAAATATAAACCGAGACAAAGTTAGGACAATGTTCATATTATTCCCTCCATTACCTTACTTTATATTTCTGCATATACACACAGACATACAATTGAACATGTGTTTGATATAGTTTTCAGTTTGTACCTGGATCTCCTCAGTGGTATGGACGATAAACATGTCTTGCAAATCTTCCATCGCTCCCTCCATCCAGTTATTGAAAGGTGCAGCTCTTTTGGCATATTCCAGGTATAACTGATCAATTGTTTCCTGCAGTTTTTCAGTCCTCTGTTGAAATAACATTGATTTATATTTTAAAAACTACTTTATATTTGTAAAAGTGCTTAGAAAGCAGCCAATTACTTGGTAAATTAAACTGAGAGGTGTTTAAAAAGAAAACATGATACCCGAGATGAGCAGGCAGCAGCCTAGGTGTCATTGGACTGCTAACGAGACACTAGGTATGTTCTGGGGAACAGGATTTGAATCCCACCACAGAGGCAGAATTTGAGTTCAATAAAAATCTGGAATTAAGAATCTAATGATGACCATGAATTTTTCATCAATTGTCAGAAAAACCCATCTGATTCACTAATGCCCTTTAGGGAAGGAAACTGCCATCCTTACCTGGTCTGGCCTACGTGTGACTCCAGACCCACACAATAACGTTGTTGACCTTTAATTGCACTGAGCAATTGGGGATGGCCAATAAATGTTAGCCAAGCCAGCTATGCCCTCATCCCATGAATGAATAAAAAAGCACATTTCTGTACCTTTAAGCACACAAGAACAAATGGACTTGTCTTGATTAAGACAGACCTGGCCATTCCTGGGAGAACACAATCTAAACTATGAATGAGATTAGTGTTCTGCAGTAATTGTACTTTATACAACATTTCTCAAACATTGGCCTACTTCCTGTTCCTATGAGGTGCCCATTCAGCCCTTGATCCTGTTCCACCATTCAACGAGACCAAGGCTGATCTGTGGCCTAACTCCATATACTTTAGCCCATATGCCTCAATACCTTTGCTTAACAAAACTCTCATTCATGTTTAACAACTGACCCATTTGTGGTAGAGTTCCAAACTTCTACCACTCTGTGCACAGAACTCAGAAGTTCCCAACCAATGAAGTACTTGACATTTAGTCATGGCTGTATTGTAGGAAGTTGCAGACAAATTCCAACAAACCACAATATGCTAATGACTAAATGATCTGTGTGTGTTGCTGACGAAGGAATAAACATTGGCCTAAGCACTCACTTGCTCTTCAAAGAAATGTTACTACCATAGATCTTTTATATTCACCCAAGCAGGAAGATGGCATTACTGTTTAAAAGGACATGAAAAATCCCATGTTTGACTAATAAAATAGCTGAGAGAAAAAAGGGAACCTTTCTCCAATACCAAACTCAAAAAAAAACTGAATATTGCAGTCTTGGTGAACTGATTGCAGAACAAAATGCTTTCCAATCAATTAATCTGAAGCTACCACCACCAGATGAGTTAGCTGGCACTAAAATTTCATAGTAATGTATTGATCATATCACATTCACATGAAATCCAATGCTCAGGTCTTACCTCTAGGGCATCCCTCCTGCTCTGTGTCAAAGAGCCCAGAGTATCCCAATGGTCACAGATAGTCTGGCAGCGTGCATTTACATTGGGAGAATCATAATAATCCAGGTCACTGTTGAAGGAAGGATTGAAAAGTTTAGTTAACTCTAGTAACAGCCTGAGACTAGAGGCATTCCTTTTGACATAAGTTAGAGATAATGCGAATTGATGATAACATATGAGCAATAGGGAGGCAATCATAATATTGTTTCCTTCTTAATATAGCATAATTGTTTTTGAATTTATAAGTGTAGAACAATCTAAACTCAATGGCATCAGTTACAAAAACAGATCTAAAATTGAATGGCTACATGGTTGGTGCAAACAATTGTATTATTGTGCATACTTGAGTTCTTGTGCAATAGCAGCAATCTGCTCCACTCTGTCTTGGTGAGCTGCCAGATCACTCTCAAATGCCTCATGTTTCTTCAGCAAGGCTTTAATGTCAGCCAGCGTAGCTGTTTCATAGTCTTTCTGTGTCAACATTGCCTCTTTATCTGGAAGATGATGATAAAGCAAAAGAGTTTAACCTGACAGTTTTATCTAAGAATTAACAGATGGTGCTCTTAAAAATGCTTATTCGTACTTAAGAGCAAGTTTAAAAACCTGCTTGAGAAAAATATTTCCAAATATTTATTCTTAGAAACGATTCCAAAACATCAACTGAAGTTAACTCACTTAATCACTCAATAGACAAGTAGAATACTAGGCTACTTAGAACAATAGTTCAAAGTGACATTTAGTGTAATTGTCTATTCTTAATACTACTGTAAGAATCTTCATATATTTGTCACATTGATTTCACTAAAAAGTTTTTAGGTTGGCCTGTGAAGGCTCTTCTATCCCAGTGGAACCTCTTACCATCTCTGCAACTGGCAAGAGATTTTACTAATTCCGCAGCCCCAACATTAATCTTATCTGGTAAGGGAGGTCAAACTTGCAGCCCCAATAGCCACAAAACAATGCTTACAAGGTATAATGCCCCTGAAATCCAGGCTTTCAATTCCACTTGCATTTATTTTCACATTAATACTCCTGTTTGAATTTGTGCAAGTCTAGGCTAGCAAAAGAAAGTTGTAAAGAAAGTGCTGAAAATTAAACAAAGATTTATTTTTGCAGTAATTTCAGATAATGAGGACAGACTTAAATTTAAGTATAAAAGCTGAGAAGCCTGTTCCAGTATATACAGACTACCAAATGGCATTTGATTAAGTACCACATAACAAGCTTATTAGCAAGTTCTTGTGGTACTGTCCCTACCTCTCAGCCAGCAGGCTTGGGTTTTAATCCCACCTGCTCTGGAGATGTAACATTTCTGAACAGGCTGATTGGAAAATAAAAACAGAACAAAGCTTGGTTAGCAAAATTAAAGCCCAGAGTAAACGTAACAGTAGCAACACAAAAAACAAAAGCTAACCAAGTGGCAGGAAAATCATCTAGAGCAGTGAACCGATGCTTTTCGGATTGGAGGTCACCATTAGCACTTCTACTTTTCTTGACTTAGATTCAGTCAGTCATCAGGGGACAATTTGCAAATGACAAAGTGAGAAAGTATGTTAATTACAGGGATATTGATAGACCAAGAGACAAAACAGGCCGGTGGAACAAGTACACTCACCGCAGTTTTAACATAAGAGATGTGAAGTTTTGATAAGACGAATGCAAAATAAAAAAGGATACAATTCTGAAAGACAGCAGAGGTACCTTGGGGGTATCCATGAACAAAAAGCACAGGGGCAAACTTGATTCACTATTACATATCAGAGCTAATCATTCAGTACCACACTTTCCCCCACATTACCCTCAAATCATTGAAGGTGACAGGACAGATTGAGAAGGAGGCTTAAAGTAAACAGGATCCTTGTTTGAATAAAGGTAAGGAATATAAAAGCAAGGAGGTCATTGTGAACTGTAAAACAATGATTCAACCTCAACTGGAGTCATGTGTTGAAATCTAAGCACCACACTACTTTGTAAATGCATAGGAGGGGGTGCAGAAGAATTTTACAAGAATGGTTCTGGCAATGGGGAACTTTAGTTACAAAGGGTAAATTGACAGATGCCAACAGGCTAAGCTGTATGTATATACATGTATGTGAAAACATTTGTTTTAAACAAAATCTATCCATCCTTTAGACAGTAACAGCTCTAGTCTACACTAATTTTGCAAAAAAGCTGATATGGATTTACAAATAGAGTCAGATGCTGCTTAAATGCTGCAAGAGTACCTGCTTCCACTACCCCCTCAGACAGCACATTCCATACTTCTACCACCCTCTGGATGAAATTTTTGCAGATCTCCTCTGAACCACTTGCTCCTCACCTTAAACTGCTATAACTACTATGTCTGAAATTCTGTATATCTCAACCAGATTTGCCCCCACCCCCTCAGCCTTATCTGATCCAAGGAAAACAAGCAAACATTCTTTCTTCATAATAGACTTTTCATGCTAGATATCATCCTGGTGAATCTCCACTGCACCCTCTCCAAATGTAATTATATCCTTTTGAGAGCATGGCAACCACAACTCAATGTTCCATTTGTGACCTAACCAAAGTTTAAATAGAGTGCTAACATTTTAAAGATTGGGAAAGGGGGTGTTGGAAAGGACAACGGACACGAACAGGAATTGAGCTAAACGGTGAAGAAACTCAATTCAGTGTGAATCAAAAAGGACCGCAAGCTAATGACATCTGTTAATTCAGTTCCTGACTTCATCTGGCAATGAGTTTTACCAAATTTCTCAGCTAATATCAACATGATGCACTTTAAACAAAATAACTGATTTTCTGCAAGTAATGAAGGCGCTCTGCTCAGATTCCATTAACTTGTCTTTCAGACACTTACGAACAATGTAATCTAGCTAGTTTAACAACTTAAATTTAACCTGTACATTGATGCAGAGAGGCATTCCAAGGCATTTTTAGATATCCATCGGAAAAGTAAGTGGTAAGCCTGGAAAGATGAAATAGAAGTGATGCCCAAAAGCCTGCTTGAAGGGATCAGTTTCAAGGAGCTTTTTAAAAGGGAGGACAGAAAGACTGAAATTTTCAGCAGCAGTTTCCAGACTGCAGAATTGAGACAGCTGAAGATGCTGACACCCACTGATGTAGAAGCTGGAGATGGAGGAATTAAGTTTTCAACATGTTGCTGGACGAGATTGCAGAAGCCGGTTAAGGCAGGAGGTAAGAAGATTTAATGAGTACAATGATTTTGAGTTTATGCCATTGGGAGAGAAAGAGCAAGCAAAGTACAAAGCTGTAGACAAGTGCTACAAGGATTTCAACAAGTTGGTACTATAGAGAGCAAGTAAGCAGCCAACGGGCAGGGTTAAGGATAGTCCAAATGAGAGGTTTGACAGTCGTACAAGAGCTTCATTAGCAGAGGAACTCAGTTACAGGCAATGTTACAAAACGTGGAAGGGAGCAATTAATGATGAATAAAAGATTGATTTTAAAACCAAGCTCAAGATCCAAAAGAACACCAAAACTGAAGTTGAACTGAAGTTTGCAGTCCACATGTTCTACCATCTCATCAGGCACATCGTAAGAGGCGATGGGATGCTGATCATTGTTTCAAAGCTGTGTGTAACGTTTATTGCACAGCATTCATTTATAGGGTTTTTCTCTGCTTATCACTTGAAGTCAGGTAGTCACCCAGATTTGCATTAACCAACCTAGTAAACGTGCAGTAAATATTGCAAGAACTTGTTGCTCTCATGCTCAAGCTTTAAAGGTAACTCAATTCACAGGCATGATTTGCAAGTTAAAAATTGGACACAGTTTGCATTTGTTAGTATTTTTCTCCTTCCAGAACGGAACAAGAGCACTAGGTTTTTAAGTCCTTGGGCTCCTTTACATCTGTTCACCTATTTACCACGAGAATATATTTAAGATTATGCCAGATCAGTTAAAATTGTCCAAGCACATTAATTACAGCAATCATTTTTCTGAGGCTGAGTAAAGGACAGTTTGATTATGGGACCTTGTACTAAAGCCTACCAACAGGAAGCAAGAAATATTCTTCAACTGTCAGTTAATGTTTACTCGAGGAGGCTTGAAAAGCTTAGTTGTAGCAAAATGTGCATCACCAAATTGCCAGGCAATCAGGAAATCCACAAGCTGGACTCCCAATTTTTTCTTCTTTCAGACTATAGCCAAGTACCTTGATCGATGCATTCACACAACACAATGCTTAGACATGCAGGAAATATTCCAAAAGTTATTTTCAGTACTCAGAGGTAGAGTGGGTACACAAGACATGCAGATCTACCCAGGTCACAAATTCACAAAGACAGCAAGAACAAAAAAGTTAGCATAACACTGACATGCACAAGTCAGATGCAATGCCAGTCTTGGGCCAATTATACTTTGAAGCTCATTGGGATATTAGCCCACATTAATGATGCTAGAAAATGTCAAGTTACTGTTATTAATTAATGGGAGTGTGTCTCAATTTCCTAAACTGAAAAAAAAAAGACCTTAGAGAAACAAAATCAATTTTGTGATCAATGGAATCTTAAAATTTTCTTCCTTGAACTTTATCTATATTATCCATAATCTTCCAGCAATATCAGAAGTCCTGTTTCCAGTTGAAGGTTCCTCAAGTTATTTAGAATGCTTCACTAAAATTAACAGCTCTGCTTTAATTAATTCTGTGCTTGTATATTACATTGGTCTAAATGTTAAGCAGTTATTACCTTTGGTCCAATCTTCATGAATGGTGGCTTTCTGCCTGAACTTTTCTGCCAAATGATCAAGTCTTTCCAGTCTCCTTATCTCATTCAGCAGCCATTCCTCATAGCCCTTCTCCGCCTGCTCCAGCCCTTGCCATGCATTATTAATATCCTACAACACAAGAGATTGTATTAGTCTATGGATACCATCCAAGAATCAGTGATGAGAACAGCTTAAAGCTAGGTTTAACCTCCAAGTTACTTGCAATCAAGCTCCCCAAACACATTAGGAACAAGTGACCATGCACCCAGCTCAGATTCCACAGCTGGGCTTCTCCTTGCTTCATGTTAGGGTGTGTTATGAACTGAGAAGCTAATTGCTACATTAGATAATGATTCCATTATTGCAACATCACATACTTGTTTAGTTTGAAAAAATGAGCAAGATGATTGGTCCATCGAGCAAATCTTGCATGACTGCATCCACAAAATCTTCTGCATACCTCTGGTTCTAAAACATTTCAATTAACTGCCTTATGTAATTGATGCTTGTGCAGAACAATATACCACAGCATTAAACATATCACAGAGGAGATAAACAACTAATCTATTCATTTCTGGTCGTGGTGCTTAAAAAGATGGAAATGTTGTGGGCTAGGACACCTGTAGAAATATTTCTTTCCTTAGTGGAAATTTATATAAAACACTGCACTAAATCAGGAAGGTAGGAGATACTACTTAATGCTTTGAATGGGGTATTAAATATTAGGCCAAAAGTGCTAACAGCAGAGAATCTGCAATAATTTGGGGTGGAAGAAAGAATAGGAGCAGGTGGTGGCAAAGTAGTAACGCTACTCAAATAAACCAGACGCTCAGCCTAATGCTTGGGGACAAGGGCTCAGCTCCCACAGTGATGGCCGATGAAATTCAAACTTTATTAACAAATGTGGGTTATAAAATTGTAAATCGTGACCATGAAACTTGCATCAGTTATTATAAAATCCCATTGGATTCTGGTCTGGAGCAAACTTTTAGGGAAGGAAACCTGGCATGATCGCCTGGTCTGGTCTACTTGTGACTCCAAACCCAATGTGGTTGATGGCGGGCAACTGTAGGCGGGCAACAAATGCTGGTCTTGCTTGGTGACGCTCACACTTCATGATAGACTAAAGAAAAAATGGAAATTGAATATAATTTCAAGCCCTAGGCTAGTGAGCAAATTTGAAAAATTCTAAAATATATTTTAAATTTAGCTCCTACTCCACCAGTTTAAGTTAACAGTACTTGTTTATTTTTGGAACCATTTCTACATGAATACTGGCCACAGATCTCATTCAAAAAGTTCTGCTTTGTCAACCAGTCAGGCTTTTAAAAAAGGCAGTCAGGTTCAGTTTAGATTTCTTCTCCCAAAATGTATAAAAAATTATGTTTATAACAAAATAAAAGCAGTATTGATGAGAGTTCAGTGGAAAAATATCCAAATAATGACTGTGCTCCAGGCATACACATCACAGGGTGGTGTCAAGCAAGAACAGTTATCGTACCAGCTTTTACAATCATCAACCTTTAAAAATAAATACTATTGGCTTAAAAAGTCAAATGAACAAAATGTTATATGACTTGTTGGCATTCTAAACAAAACTGTGCCTTCATTTGCACAACACAGTTGTTTGCTCATTACTGAAGTACAGCATGAAAGCTCTTATCTGGAGCACAAGATAGCTCACTTGCCAAATGCATGGTCTGGCGAAAAAGGTACTGCCCTATACCAAACAAGTAGTTTCCAGATTCAACCTCTGCACCGAGGCAACTTAGCCATACTCAGCCAAAGTGGTGAAAAGGTGCTTCAACTAACTTAAAAACCTACTTCATAAATTGATCCAGCCATTTCAGTATAAATAGAACCTGCAAAATCTCAAGATACTTTTGCAAGGGAAAAGAGATAAAGGCAAGGAGGATAATGGAAGGAGAAGCAAGAGTTTATATATCTTCAAAACATTTAATAATTCACGACCCACGAACAACCTGGCTTTAGTAGCAGTTAAACATATTGAACTACAATCTCAGTTGTCGTCAGCTGTCCCTCAAGTCGGGGAGGACAGCAAACTGAAACAGCAATTTGACTTCAGAGTCTGGATTATTACTTTGCAATAAAAAAAAAAAGAACAAGAACATTCTTCTTACCGAGACCATTTTCCCTTCAGATGGCATGAAAGCTGGTCGATTGCTGAGTCGGAGTTTGGTCTGCAAGGTGTTGAAGTTGATCTCAAGCTGGCACTTCTCCTGCACTTTGGGAGGTTTGTGGACACGGCGGTAATCACGAAAGTCTTCCAGTTTTTGCTGCATAGCTTGCATTGTTTTCTCAGGCTCTCTGTTCTCTAACCAGGGTTTGGTTTGACGGATCCACTCCAGCAACTGGAAACAAAATCACTAGTGAAGAAAACGGAGGCTGCGCAACAGATAACTGTTAAAATTCAAAGAGCAGCTTTAAAGTCAAAAGCTTTTCTTGAAAAGATGTGCATGTATTTGGAATTGTTGCACTTGCTTTATGACTTCTAGCAAAAATACCTTCACCATAATGCTGAGTATAATGTTAAAACCATTTTTACATAATGTCTGCTATTCAATTCTTTTGACCCTAGTTGTAAGGAGCACTTCCTGGTCCAAATCTAATTGGCCCCATTTAAAAAAGGAAACATATCTGGATAACACATTCCCAACATTTTTCAATTGCATCATAAACATTACCCTCAACTTATTGGATGACTGATTCTATGAATTGAAAACCTTGGCCATTTCCTGAGAGAGTAGCCATGATCAAGGCTACAGGAGGTTTAAACATATTAAATAAAACCTGAATTTGTTCAAAAGTTGATTAAATATGTAAATGTTCTAATTTTCAGTCAATTAGACAAGGATACAAATAGATTTCTTACTCCAAAGCAGCTACACAGTGCTGTGGAGTGCTGTGGAGTGCCTAATTTACAAAATAAACAAACCTTTCAATACAGACCAACCACTAGGATCTCAAACTTTGTTAACATTTCATATGTACTTTTATGAATTCTAGGTTATAGTACCATTTATGAAAATGAACACCATTCAAGTTCTGTCACAGGGCGCATTTATCTCAAATCTCAAAGCAACTTTAGCGAAGGAAGTATTTCTGAAGTGTTGCCACAGGATCTTTTATACCCAAGACAGGTGGGTCTTTAATGTCTCACCTAAAATAGGGTACCTCCAATGCTGCAGCACTCCCTCAGTACTGCAGTGGAATGAGTAAATAGGAGTGCTCGAATTCTGAAGCGAGACTTGAAAACCACACCTGTGACTCAGGATGCTACCAACTAAATCAACTCCTTCAGACTGGCCAAGAGGATAAACATTAGAAAACACTGCACAAATTCAAACACTTTCAGGTTTGTTAAATTCATCTCTCAAATCTAGGACTTTGGATTCACCAATTCTAAACAATAAGCACCAGTTAAAACAGAACACAAACTTAAGCATTACAGGACAGAAACTGACCATTTGGCCCTTTCCGTTAGTAAGCTACACAAGACTCCTTCCAAAACTGAACCTTTGGATCCATTCTATTTGTTTTAGGAGAAAAGTGACAAAAATGTAATAGGAATCAGATTCGAGTTAAGAAACTGAAGAGTTTGCTAGTAACTTTCGATTACACATTGGCTTAAAGTCATAATTGATGAGTGCATTCCAAAGTGTTAGAATTTTTTTTGAAAAAGCATTCCCACAGATGATATGGACAAGTCAGAATTTTATTAATACAGTTTACAAATTTAGAATACATACATCACTGGCCAGTTTTTCATAATCCTCCATCAGATGTTCATTTTCTTGGTTTACTGCCAGGACTTTGCAAATCCTATTGGCTGCAGTCTCAGCCTGTCAGAAACAGATGATAGTTACAGCAACTTCAATACACATGAAATTACGATAAGTTAGAATTTGGTAAAGTAAGGTGGCTATAGAGAAATGGTGGTGATTGCCTTTATTAGCTGTCACAAAAAGTATTGCTCAAGTCAAATCAAAATCAGATGCTGCAGCTTTTAAAAACAATGTGACTGCTTAAGAGTAACATTAATCTATCAAAATTATTCTCTACAACTGAACTTCTTGCTGTCCAGTGAAGTAGATAGTATGAATGGATTGAGGTGGAAAACTGTTGCATGATTGGTACAAGAAGAGAAAAAGATTAGGTAAGACAAAAGGAGGTCCATTACAGTCAGAAATAGGGAGGTTATCATGGGGAAACAAAAGCAGCAGACCAATTAGAGATCTCAGACACCTATAAAATTCTAACAGGACTAGACGGAGTAAATGCAAAAAGGATGCATCCGATGACACATTCTAAGGAAAAGGGTAAGCCATTTAGGATTAGGATGAAGAGTTTTTTTTCACCCAGAGTGGTAAGCCTGTGAAATTCTCTGCCAAAGTGATGGCGGTCAAAACATTTAATACATTCAAGAAGTTAGATGTAGTGCTTAGCGCTAAAAAGGGTATGAGGAGAAAGAGAGAACAATTGGATGTGATCATACTGAATTGTGGAGCAGGCTCAAAGGGCTGAATGGTCTACTGCGGCTCAATTTATACACTACGTTAACAGCGGTGGCAAATGGATAGGGTTTAAATTTTTTAAATTCAACAAAAGGAACAGAAATTAATTTCCAACAGCTGCTCTCCACCTTAAATTGGAGGCACAAAGAAAAGTAATTTGAGATTCTGACTACAAAAAAAACTTAACAGCAGCAAAGGAGAAAGAGTAGGCTATTAAGTCCCTCTGATCTGTGCTGCCACAGAGATCATTGCTGGTCTGGAACCTAAACCCGTACAGGCTCCATTGGACCACTTTTATACTATAAAAATCAGGTTCAAAGGGATATCACATTTAAAATTAATTATTGAAACAACAACAATTGCCATTTTCAGAAAAGATTTTCAAATTTCTAACTAACTGTCTGCAGGGAGTACTTCCTGATCTAAATTCCAAAAAGTCAGGTTAAGGATTTATATTACGACCATCGTCCTAGACTCTCCAATGACTCGGAAAACTCAGAAGTCCAATCATTGTAAATTAACTCAATGCAGTGGTCCAAATCAATGCAGAATGCTGTAATAAATGCCATGAAATGAACGCCAAAATGTCAATTTCTATTGTCAATTCTTTGGGTAACGCTCAGCAGAACTTATATGCAACCATGAGCTTTATACTAGAAGTTAGTATGGTATGAAAAGGCAAAGGTTTGTCAAAAATGAAAACAAACTTGCACTATTTGCATTAAACATTCTACGTCCCAGAGTGCTAGGAACTTCATTTTAACTTTTGAGGAATTATGTATTTAATACAAAAAAATACAATAATGATCAGATGCAGAATACTACCTCTACAGAGGTGTATAAACTAATGGGTACTTTATCTGATCATGGTTCAAAACAGTCAACATGACACTGGCTGCTGAGGACCCTCAAATGACTAAGTGTCCAAAAAGTTCAAAGCTGTAAAAGGCAAATTACCTGACTATAAATGCCATAAAACAATAAAATATAGTCAAAAATGTTGTACACATTAGATAGCTCCAAAAAAAGCATACAGGAAGAACAAAAATCAGATGGGAACTGGTCACCAGAGATGGAAACCAGGGTCTAGACTGAAACAAAGAGCATTGCATGACAGGTGAGAACACCTCAAGATACTATTTTATGCTAAAGAAATTACAGAAATGGAATTTTTTTTTTTTAATATACATATCTTTAGCATCAGTACTCCAGTTTTAACATGCCAGCACAGCGGCAATAAATGAATTATTGGAGTAAATCTTACCTTATTTTGCCATACATTAAAATAATTCGATGCAGAATCAAGCTTAAGTTTGCTTTACAAATTAGGACAATTCAATACCCACCTTTCTAAATTGTCGAGAATACATGCACAGGCATCTTGTAACAAAGTAAAAATTGGCTAAAGGCTAGTAAAGTTGCTCCTTTTACGCATGCACTTGTGAAGCGCAGCCAGACCGTTCCATATTGCACCAACTATAGTTAATCTAAAGCTCTCCATGATCAAAATTTTTAAAAATATTTTAAATAAGAAAAGCTTGTAAAAGAATTCAAGTCTAGAAAAAATGTCAGTGACCCAAAAGTGTGCGCCCTGGGCAACATGCAATTCACTGGATAATAAGAGATTCTTCTGTGACAAATGTTAATTTATTAGAGAAGAGTTTTTAAAAAGAGGTAGTTGTACAAGTTACATCAAAACTCTCCTTGGAAAAATCCTACTTGCACATTTTCAGTAGATAGGAAGAACAAAGTTACCCTTCCTTAGACTACCTTTGCTTGTAGCTTTCTCCCAGGTTTCTTCCTAGTACAACGGACATCTACATTTCAGCTACACAAAAGAAGCCCGAGTTTAAGAAGTTTTCCTCGTACTAAGACTTTAGGGTGACCTATGAACTTTTCAGAGTAGGGAATGACAAGATTTGTTCCATATTAATGGTGCATTACAATGAAAAATTCACAAATCAGATCACATAGGTTTGGAAGTAAGTTTAAAAAAATTAGACAACTCTTCCACTCAGATCACAGGAGTTAGATTATAAAAGGGGATGCAGTCATCAAATTGATTTGGGCAACTAAACATGGATAATGAATGAGACAAGACGGTAGGAAAAGAGTGAGGGAAGGCAGCGTTGAGTTAAATGGACCTTGATGCTCGTTAATTCCTAGAATTTTCACTTTTTCAAGATGGAATCTGGCATTGTTATAGAGTCACAGAAACTAAAGTACAACCTGGTTACAATCAAATTTTGTCTTATGACATTGTAAATGCTTCAACAGCCCAAAAAAACTAAACTACTACATTCAGGATATTTCCATTTGCAAAAAAAAACAAACTCTCATCATAACAAATGTCCTTTACATGGACTGTGTTTTTAGCCAAAAGAAGGTGCATAGCCTTAAAGTAATAAGATTGAAGACATCCAACAGTTGCCACTGTTAATCATGAGAAATAAGCAGCACACCAGATGACCAAAAGCACTCAGGACAGAATGTTTGCAAGGTACAGGAGATAAAGAGCTCACCTTTTGAGCACCTGAGAAGGCATGGTAGTAGCATGAAACGTAAGTCATAATAGCCTTTTCATCTGGCCTGAGTGTGCCTACAATATCTGTGCAGAGAGAAAGTCAGCAGAGTAAGGTTGCATCATGCCACAAGCAGAAAAACGATTTATTACATGGTATGAGAGAGAACAGGTGCAGCATCATGCCTAGAATAAAGAATATAAAAATCTGAGGAACAGCTGAAAGAGAAGCACGAGATCAGTTTTGCAGGAAGGGAGGGGTCCTTGGTGACTTATGGTACCTTCTGTGCTCCTGAAAAGGCATGGTAGAAGCAGGAGACATAGGTCATAATAGCCTTCTCATCAGGGCGAGCGGTGTTCACAATGTCTGCGGGTAAACAAAAATATTAGGAGAAGCTTCCAGTCGACATCTTAAGCTGTAGTCAAACACTTCTACAAACATTAGTCTCATCTCACTCCACTAAATATATAATTTTACCCATATTTTTACTCCTTAGTGAATGGAAATATGGAGGGTGGAAATATTGGAATACTAAACAAACTCTTCTTCTTACAAATTTACATGGGGAATGTTCATAAAAGGAAATTTGGGGTAATTTACCCAAAATACCTCCTCCAAAAGGAAATGAAGCTCAGGATACAGATTGTTTCTGTTAAGTGTGTAACCTCTCTGTATTTGAACCACAGGAGGAACTAACCAGACAAAAAAGGTCGCAGGGACAAATGCAAACGAATCAAGTATTTTTGCAGAAGGCACAGCCACCCAAGCATTTTCAGAAGAGACAAACTTTAGATACACTAATGTGCAAAGGTAGTATGGAAATCTAGAAGATTTGTCGTAATGGGACGATAAAATGCACCAATTTACATTCTGCAGTCATTTTAACATTTCACATCAATCTGCATTAATATTTAAATTATTTCTTTAAAGTTATTCCATCCTCAAGTTGTGCTTTCTCACTGAAAAAAGGCCAGTGCATTCAGCAGTCAAGACCCTGGAAGATGGAAGCCTGTTAGTATTTAGAATTCCTGCATTAAACATTGTTTAAATGACCATAGCCAGACCAGTTTACCTACTGGTTAAGTTAAAATCTCTGTGCATTATTAGAAATTTAATAAGTTGATCCATAAACTCACTAGGGAAAGAGCAAAAACATCAGTACCTGATCCTGAAAATTCTAGTGTTACTAATGATAACTAGAAAAGGTATACTTCAACTGGACAAAATAGCTCCACTCAAAAGCAGAGTTTAAATATCGTGATGTTCAACAGCCTTTAAAAATTTACATTTATGCATATTTACAGATGATTTGCCACTGATGTACTTCTTCCATATGAAAAGTACGCACGAACAAAGATTGTGCTGTTAAAAAGGAAGTATTCTGTTATGTGGAAATAAACATTCATACTGTGGGGTCAAAACATGTGGAAGTGAAACAAGCATGAATTTCAAAAATCAGAGGAGGTGGGGCAAATGAACACATACTGCAACCATACAAAGATCAAAAAGTCTCATGAGCAGACTCATCCCAGTGGGTTGCCCAACCTACAGATGATTGACCACATTGAGCCATTGCTTCCAGCACTAGGAATTCAGTTTTCCAAGCCAAGGCAAATATTATCCTACCAACTGTTCTATTTATTTATTAATCCTGAATTTTGAGGGCTTGTCCAAAGAGCTGCAGCATTTCAAAATCAAAGTAACACAATCTACTAGTGCAGCAATTTGAGAGATATTTGCAAATGAATAGGAGTTCCAGGGTGCGTACCCGTGCAGCCTAAGACAGTTGAATATTCCTGCTGCAGGTTAAGTAACAATGGATTTTTAGCAGTTCAAATCACAAAAAGGTGGGTTTTTTTAAAAATGGAATTAAGAAGTTGTGGTTTAGAATTGCAAAGTTTTAGGGAACAAGAATGTTAAATGGGGAAGTCAAGTCCAGGGAAGCATTTAACTTCCACGTTAATTAAAATGTCACAAATAAGGGCTTTGAGCGTGCCACCTTAAGCACAATACGGATACTTTAATGAAAATTCTGCTTCATTCTGTTGCTAAAGTGTTAATGTTATGGAGCATCCATTGCAAATTATGGAATGCGACCAAGTTTAAAGATGTCTGGTCCTAAGAACTAAAAAAAGGTCACAAACCACCTAGCCCATTTACAAAAGTCACTTTCAAGCAATTAAAGTATAGAAACAAAAAAAAAGAGAGACAGCAGATGCTGGAATCCAAAGGTAGACAAAAACAGGAGGCTGGAAGAACACAGCAGGCCAGGCAGCATCTGGAAGAAAGGAGCAGTCAACATTTCAGGTATTACCCTTCTTAAGGGCTGGATGTGGCTGGGGGGGGGGGGGGGGGGGGGGGGGAAGAGGGTTGGAGGTGGCAGTGACAACGAAGAGTACAAACTGGTTGGTCAAGGACAGGAATTAATTCGGTTGGTGACTGGAAGGGAGGGTCAGAAGGTAGAATAGAAGGAAGGGAGGTGGTGGGGCTCGAAAAAAAGGAGGCAGGGGATGGATGGCAAGGTTATTTGGAATTGGAGAACTCAATGTCAAGTCCTCTGGGCTGTAGGGTGCCCAGGCGGAAGATAAGGTGTTCTTCAAATTTGCGCTCCAAGTCGCTGTGACACTGGAGGAGGCAGAGGAGGGAGTGGGACAGGGTGTTGAAGTGGGCAGTGATCGGGGAGGTTAGGTTGGCCATCATGGACCAGTCAGAGATGCTCAGCAAAATAATGATCTAGTCTACGTTTGGTCTCACCGACAGAGGCCACTTAGGAGCACCGGGTGCAACAGACTAGGTTGAATGAGATGCAGGTGAAGCTCTCTCACACTTGGAAGGGCTATTTAGGGCCTTGAATAGAGGTGAGGGAGGTGGTGCGTGGATAGGTTTTGCATCTTTTACGGTTACAGGGGAAGATACCGGGCAGGTTGGAGAGGATGGTGGGGAATGTGCCACAAACTAAGGTACGGTGAAGGGAATGATCTTGTGGAAGCTTGGGGGGGGGGGGGTGGGGAGGTTCTTGGTGACTGAGTCTAATTGGAATTATCAGAAGTGTTTGAGGTTAATACATTGAATGCAGAGTCTGGAGGGGTGGAAAGTGAGGACGGGGTGGGGGGTGGGGATGGTGGTGGGGGTAGTGAAGAGCTGAGGAGCAGGGAATGGAGGCGGTGTGGAGGGCAGCTGACTGGATGAATTAATAAAAGTATACCTAGAAAAGGAGCATAACCAGGACAATAATAATACAGTTTTGTTCTACACTTGAAAGGCATCATTTCAAGCCCATTCCAGTTCACCAGACATCTGCTTCAGTCTTCTGATAGCAATAAGTGACATAATAATTCTGATAGAGGTACGCCATCTCAAATAAAGTTCTCCCTTCATAAATTAAAGGTCAACCAGCCCACCTTGTCCCTTCTGCTTTTCCCATCAAGTTCAGCTAACTTGGTATACATCAAATTTGTATTGTTCCTGATTCAGTCGTTTAGCCACTGAATGGAAAAGCTTCAAAACAACAGAAGTGGTGTATTCATTCACAACTAGCATTTGTTTTGATCATTTAGACTTCAATTGTTCAAGGCACAAAAAATTCAGTGAAGACCATTCATAATCTTCATGTACATGTGCAACACATGATAAACTCTGAATTTGGCAAGGAAACATTTGTACTATTATTCCCTAATGGCACCATTTCCTACACTATGGATTTCACAATTAACCTATGTTTGAGTGAATCATTTCCTGTGATGTCTGACTACCATATCTAGATGCCAGAACATTTTGTTTTACAAGCATGGTAGACTTAGGATGCAGTCTGCATCCTAGGTACAACGAAACACAAATCTCCAACATTTCTGAACTTGCACTCCCTATCATGTTCTACTCCAGGAAGCCAGCTGAATGGTAGTGCCAAAGCCAATTTATTCGAGTGAAACACTGCAAGCACACAGCAACTTAAACTTGCGTTTCAATACTTGTCTCAAGTGGAACCGCTGTTAATATTCCCCATTTACATAACTGATTTTGATAAAACATTGATATGGATGTAATATACTTGCATAAGATTGATCACTTTCACTAAATGCATTTTATTCAATTGTGTAACTTAAGTAAAAGCAACTTGATTTCTCAAATAACTGGACTGCATTTAATAATACATGATATTTCACTAATGGGGAAGTTCATCAAGTACAGTTGATCAGATGGCTTTTGGCACACTGTACATAATGCTGTAAAGTTACAACACTATATAACAATATGTTGTCTGCCACTTCAACACACCACCCTGCTCCCTGGCCAACATCTGTGTCTCTGGCTTGCTGCAGTGTTCCAGCAAACCCCAACACAAGTTGGAAGAACAACACCTCATTTTCCGCTTGGGGACCCTACAACCCTCCAGACTCAATATCGAGTTCGATAATTTTAGGACCTAAACTCTCCCCATTGCCCAGCACACCAGGCCTTGTTACCACAACCTGCCATTACACACCCCCTGTTGTTAGTCACTAACAGTCCCCATTAACTACTTACCCTCCCACCCTGACGGTTAGCAACTCCTTTGTCTGTCCAACTGTCTCTCTCTCTTTGGGCTCTGTCCTATCGTTTACTCCCTATCCCACCCACCTCCTATCTTCTGCATATAAACTGACATTTTCCCAGCTACCATTAGTTCTGAGGAAGGGTCACCGGATCCAAAACATTCAGAGATAGTAGGAACTGCAGATGCTGGAGAATCTGAGATAACAAGGCGTAGAGCTGGATGAACACAGCAGGCCAAGCAGCAGAGGAGCAGGAAGGCTGACGTTTCGGGTCTAGACCCTTCTTCATTTTCTGAAGAAGGGTC